AACCCCTTTTATGAGTTATTGCCCCTGAAAGTTTATGAAACTTACGAATAATTAAAAATTTTCAAAACGATAAGTTGTAGAGAGATGGGACCAACTGCATAAGATTCATTGACCTTTGACCTTCAAATATATGCAAAGGTCAAAGGTCAAGGTCATTCAAAATATGAGAAATTAAGCTCTTTTTATATCTCTTTTGTCTTTCAACATATCCTAAATATCTTTGCATCATTAATATGTACTCTTAAATCTATTTCAAAGATATCATTCTTGTCCCCTAAGCTTAACCCCTTTGAAAGTTATTGCCCCTTTTACTGAAAACCTTGTTATCGCTACTCCTCCGAAACCATAAACCGTAGAGACACAAAACCTTCACTAACGTCTTCAGGGTCTTTATTCACAACTTCAATCTATTCAGTGCGAAAGTATCCGATGACCCCTTATATGAGTTATCGCCCTTTAACGTCTTTGTGCTTACTATTAAACCTTATAACTTTAAAACTAAAAGTCATAGAAGCATGGGGTCAAGTGCAATGTGACCCCTGACCTTTGACATTGAAAATTTTCAAGGTCAAAGGTCAAGGTCATTTCAAAATTTTTAAAATTTTCATTTTTTCTATCTTTCAAGCCATTTATGGATTCTTTTTGCATAAAAATTAACTTTAGAGAGTTAAATATGAAGAATATATGAAATTTAAAGAAGGTGGAAAGACCTCTAATTGTTCGAGAACAATTAGTCTACTAGTTATGTTTGTAGTTGTTAAAATTGCTATATAAATACCTTGTGATCACTTATCGAGATAAACAAACAAAAATAAACAGAGAGAAAAGAAAAAAAAGAAAAAGATCGATAAATTAAAAAAATACGAATAAATAATTGCAAAACACTAGCTTTTCTTCTTGTAAGTTATTATCTGTGCTTTTGGTCTAAACCATTCAAATATATAATTTTATTTTTTTTAATTAACTACAGTTGTATAGCTATAAATTAAAATACTTTTTCCATTACAGAATATATTTCTTACATTTTAATTTAGTATGCATACTGTAGAACTACAAAAACCAAAGGTTTAGTCCTCTAAAATGTGACGTCATAATCAAATATGCACAAGAAAGTCACTCGGATCATAAGAATTGCGTACCCAGTTTTAATGACGTCAGCAAACCCGCGACCTACGTTTATATCTTTAAAACATAAATTAAACATAGATACCCTTTTTTATTCTTTTGTCTTAAAGTGACAAGATGGAGGACGACATGTTCCTCAATAATATATAATATTTTCAAAGAATTTTTAATTGAAGCATTACTACTTAAATAAGTTTCCTCACAAAAAATTAAGGTACCTTACTAGGAATTTGTATCAGAGGATGTCATTTGCTATATAATCCTATTAGAATTCACTACAACTGCCTATATCACGATTTTTTGGTGTCTTTATCTACTTAGACATTTTGAAAACAGTTTAAAAATCACAAAATAATAACAATTCTGATTTATTTGTTATATATTAAGAAGAGATACAAAACAGATATTCGAGCAACGTGTCGCCTTAAAGGGAAAATTATTTTCAATAAAATTGTTAAAGTGGAAAGGGATAAGAAATTCTCCAGAATCAATATGCCGCACCTCAAAAAATTCACTCGGAAACTTTCTTTATAAGTATATACAAATCACAAACCCGCTGACTGAGGTGGACTCACGCACACGGCGAGTGTGACCGGTCGAAAGGTAATGCTTACTCCTTCATGGCACCTGATCCTTACTCTGATCTTTTCAGAGGTCCGTGTTCGCTCTGCTCACAGTTTTTATTGTTTCAATGGGCTTTAGGTATGATTACTGTTCCTTACCTTAATTTGCATTTTACTATGACGTTTTATGGTTAATTTGCATTTTACTATGACGTTTTATGGTTAATTTGCATTTTACTATGACGTTTTATGGTTAATTTGCATTTTGCTATGACGTTTTATGGTTTATCGATGAAACGATGAATTGGCGTTCTTTGTACAACGGCTTTCTTATAGCACTTGCTTCATAGTGAAAGTGATTAGTGTTATCATAGCGAAACATTCAAATACGGAGTCTTTTCGGGAATAAAAATTATTTTTATGCAAACAAAAAAGCAAAGAGAAAGATTCTGATGATTGTGCATCCCTCACAGTGAGTAATCATGATTAGCAGTCCTCAGCGACCTAATTCTGACAGATGCCATGTCTGATCAATGAAAGATCGAACAGACCCATGAATATTGTAAATAACTTACTGATTGATACTGACGAAATTCAGATCTAATCGAAGTAAGACAATAGAAGGAAAATATCCCTTAAATCAGCATGGCAGGCGTTAAAGATAAGGGTGGACACTAAAGTGTTCTTGGATAAGATACTCCGCATCTGTTGACAGCATCTTCTGTGCATCCTGCATTGCCTTCCCTGACCAGCATACAGACACCAATAGTTGGGTTTACAGATTTGAAATACGCAACCGGGGAGGAAAAGGGTACATTAAATAGTCATACTTTTGAGATCACAAGTCTTTATTCGTTACAAATAAATTGGATTGAACAACAGGCCTATAATCATTCTATGAAAGTTTTCTGAATGGATGAAACTTGAGAGACCATTCATTTTTAAAATACGTGATTGATTCTGGTTGTTTTAGAATTTGCTGGCAGTATACTTTTAATGATTTATTGAAATAATTTGTTTGTTCATGTTCATAACTCTTACTAACCATCATCTTCGCTAGCCAAGGGTGACTATCCGCTCCTCTCCTCTTTAGAGAGGAGCGGATCATCACCCTTGGCTAGCGAAGATGACTAACCATCGTTTGTTACTTTGTTAATTTTTGGCATTGCATGAAGTATTAATTTGAAGATTTATGTTGCACTTTGTATCCTTTGTTTGACTTTAAAAGATATAATGACTTTTTGAAGATTTTTTTTTTTTTGAACAGAAAAAATATGTTTAAGTATAATAAATGTGTCTCTTGAGGTAAGACCTGCAAATCATTAAAAAAAAAATGTTTATCCCATGGGCACTTCAAGCTAAAAAATGGTTTTGTCCCATGGTTTTCTTCGATGAAAAAAAAAATCGTTGTCCCATGCCTGTTTTTACTGGTCCCATCATTGTGATATATTTGCCTTGGTCCCTCACTGACTGGAAAGCAGAATTTAACTCAGTTTTGAAATAACATTATGTTGAATTCAAGGTATAATACTCATCGCCTAATATTCACAATGAATTTATTTAACAGTTTGAAAATGAAGTAGAGAAAGATCAAAAAATTAAATTGGAGATTTCTCAGTTGTCAAATGTTTGTTATTTGTAGAGAGAGGAGGATTCCATGAATGTAACGGAGTATTTTCTTTTTCTTTTTTTTTTTTTTTTTTTTTTTTTTGTTTGGGTAATGCAGAAACAATCATCAATACTGGAGCTTTACTGAACACAATGACTCAAAAATAGGAATTTAATCTTGGAAGTATGCGCAGCGGGGCCAAGTTTATGATGGGCACTCAACAACTTCTGGAGAAATATCAGACGTTCAAAGGAGACATAGAAATGAATATCCCAATGCAAAGTATTTTGAACATCGCAGTTTCCACAGACTAAACCTTGTCATTGTTAATAGCTGAAATACAGTATCTGAAGCGAGATTACATTGAATGTGGTGACAATACTCACCTGGTTTCTTTCTGGTGTCAAGATGCGGAAAGGAACTTTGGAAAGAGAAATTAAGAACGAAAATAAAAATCTCGACTTTGATGTTTTATAAGAGAAAATATATTGTTTGAATGCAAAAGACATCGGCAAGGTATACACAAAACTCGCAGAAACCAGGTAGACTTATTGGGCTGATATTCTGTTGTGGCTTCTCCGACAGTTCTCATCAGTAAGTTGTGAATGCTTTGGAAACTATCAGATCAGAATGAAGATGTCAGGCTACATCTGCACGCTTCTTAATACCAAGCAAGCTTGCTGAGAATTCATCATTTCTACCGAAATATTGCTGGAATAGTGCCGACTCAGCGTGAAGCCGTATAGAATCAGTTTCAGTTGTTCTTCAGTTCATTCGTGGCTATGTTAGTTCTCTCAGTATTCTTTTCCAAGTAGAGTAGTGTGACCTTGTTAAGGATCTAGAAGAGGCACAGAAATGCAGTCCATATTTGTAAACAATAGATAGAGATTTTATTTTTTACGGAAGGGTTTTGAAAAACGCTCAGGAAAATCAAGTCTCTGGATCCAAACCACGAGCTGTCAACAAACAACGTCATAGAACAAATAGTGCAGTTGAAACTCAATGTGAATTATTTTTTGCCATTCCATATATCATAAGTAAGTTGTGAATTTTCTCATCAAGTTTTCACAAACTATTCAGTCATTATTAAGAGGTTTTACTTGGTCTCTTATTTAATCTGGATAGTTAATTATTACGCAATGGTACGATGACGATGACGCGAAGGTACGATGACGAGGTAATTGTGTGATATCGCGATGAAGATGATGCGATGACGATGGTGATTTAGCACGCGTACGATGGAGAGTAGCGAACATCGCTTCATCATTATTTTTCATCGCCATCGCATCGTCGCACCATCGTCCCAAACCTTATCAACGTTAACACAGAAGTGACCTCACAACTGTCCAGGTACGAACACGGAGCTGAATAATCTTTTTCAAAATCTCAACATTAATCATAAAATACATTTGATGGTACTCTGAATAATTGTTAAGTTACTAGTAATTGTTTAAAAGAAACTTAATCTACAGTGTAAAACAAAATCCTTCTTATTTCTATTGATCAAATTTAATTGCATATGGCGCGCAAATGTGTCCAAAGTCTAAATATGCGGAGACCAATCACAAAAAAGGCTACTACAATTCATATTTGTACATCTGTTCCATCAAATGATTTAGGATGTAAGAGTTGCCAAGCCAAGAATGAATTTTGTGATTCATCAATGTTCTGATAGATATGGAGCAGTTTTTGTTCTATTAAATATGGAGCAGTTGTTGAAGATGGTATTGTGTCTTTCACTCTTTGTGCTAACTGCATTTTTCTACGAAAATAATTTGTTCCATAAAGTTAACTTTGGTGCATTAAAAGTGTATAAATACGATACTCTTATATCAAGGAATGACTCAGTTTATATTATTGATACACCCGGATGTAAAATTCCAAATTACGAGGCATTTGATCTTTCGATTAGGGAAAAAATTCTGCCTGGTAGGTTTACGAATTGCGACAAGACTCGTTCATTTCTTAAAATAAGTTCAAACTGTCTTGAGATAGATCATGCAGACGTGCAGAAATCACAGTTCAAAAACTCATTTTCGTTTTGTCGAGTACATAGAATATATCGACCCAGACAAGGACAACACCATAATTTTTTCAGATACATACCAATAAAAGGAAGGCTTATGACCGGTGACCAATTATGTCTCGAAAGTGACATGGCACGAGTAAAATGTTTTGACAGGAAAAACAGGACCATTTTCACAGAACTTTACTGGATATACCAAAGGAATGATTCGTACGAAGAGCTTTGTGATAAACGACTTAGAAAAAGGATGGATGACCCAAAGATAACCGAAAACCTTAATGTTCTGTTGCTTGGTGTTGACTCAACCTCTAGACTAAATTCTCAAAGATATTTTTTAAAAACGAGACAAATATTGGAAAGGGAATTTAATTCTTTTGAATTCAAAGGTCATAACATTGTAGGGATGACTACGTTTCAGAATGTGGTCCCTGTGTTAACTGGAAAGAGTATATACGAACTGAAAGAAGATGGTAAATTTGGAAACACCACAATGGATAATTTTCAGTTTATTTGGAAAGATTTCGAAGAGAATGGTTACAGAACGTTGTTTGCCGAAGATGCAGCACACATGGCTACATTTGACTATTTTAAACCTGGCTTTCAAAACTATCCAGCTCAATTTTATAATCGGCCCTGGTCTGTGGCCTGGTGGTATGCTGGGTCACCACGCTGTATGGGTGGTCGTTCGGAACCAGAAGCTGTGATGGAATATTTAACAAAATTTGTAGATGTATATAAATCAAAGCCGTACTTTGCTTTTGTGTTTCTTTCTTCGCTGACACATGACCGTCAAGAATTATCTGCGGAAATGGATGAAGTCATGTCAAAATTCTTTACCAAAGCTTATGAATCAAATGCGTTTAACAACACAATGGTGTTTTTCTTCAGCGATCATGGATTTAGAATTGGTAGAACACGTTGGTCGAATATAGGCATGTATGAAGTACTGTCGCCTATGTTATTTATCACTGTTCCCAAATGGTTTTCTGATAAGTACAAAAAGATAGACAAAAATCTAAGAAATAATGCAAATAAGCTTACAACAGTTTATGATATCCATGAAACTCTTCGAGATATTTTAAATTTCAATGGACGAGTAGAAGAACACAGTTCCATTCTCAGAGGAGAAAGTTTATTTTCCGACGTCTCGAAAACTAGAAACTGTACTGATGTTGGTGTCCCAGAGTCTCTGTGTTCATGCAGCCATTACATAAATGTTAAGAATTTTTCTACACTATATGCAACACGCAACTTATCTACAGATATTGTTTCAAAATTAAATGATTTATTAAAAAATCATCAATCAGTATGTGAACGCATCAGTTTGGATAAAACAATATCAGTTTATCAAGAAGTTTCAGGAAGAAAGCATACATACCGAATATCTATACGAACACTACCTGGGAAAGCATTGTTCGAAGCGTCTGTTTCCTCAATAAATGACAAATACCACGTTGGACAAATATTGCGTATCAACAAATATGGTGATCAATCAAAATGTTTGAACGACTATTTCTTACGCAATTACTGCTACTGTAAGGATACTTGAATATTTTTGTTCAACAGGCTAATGCTTTACCAGAGATAATTCAATCCGCCCCGTGTTTTCACTTTCATCATCGATTTCTCAAAACCTTTGATTATTCTAGTTGTATCTAGTTAATGACAGGTCATAGTTTTTTCTGTAGGAAATTGTTGGTATACATGTACTTAATTTATTTCAACTTTTAATAATATTTCTTCTTTACTTTCCACAAGGAAATATTGGGGGTAAATTAAAATTTTCTGTCCTAATTTGTCATCATTATTTTCAAATTCCATTGATATTGCAGCCTTCAAACTATGAAAACATTCTAACTTACTTGATTGCTGGTACATGAATTTGTATTTTGTTGAACACAGGTTGCTAGTTTACGTGTAATGAATAACTTATACCCTAGTTCCCTTTCTAAGGAGGAAATTCTCCAAAATCACGTCAGTTTTGAATGTTTTTAATATTCCCAATAATCAAAATGAATTTGGATTACCCTATACTGGATTCCTTAACTTCATAAGAATTCTTACAAAAAACCTTTTTCTTTACTACTCACTAAATAAAATATTAAAAGCAGTGAGGGAGAAACTTCAGGAGTACTGTACAACAATATATTCGAGAAGTGGTGTAAACCAGATGTGGATACTTAAAAATTCTAAGGAACTTTTAGAAAATTTGAAATCGCAAAATTTTACCAAAATCAATTACAACAATACGTACGAATTGTCAACACTTTATACAACCATTCCCCACGATGACTTAAAGTCCAGGCTTTTTGACATCATTGACATCTGCTTTTTCAATAAAAATGGAACTCGTGAATTTACTTACCTTGTCATTGGTCAACATTATTTTATTAAAAACATTCTGATTGTACACACAAGTACTCTGAAGTTGACATTAAAAAGATGCTTGAGTTTCTGATCGACAATATCTATGTAGTTTCTAGAGACCAGGTCTTCCAACAGTCTGTCGGAATTTCCATGGATATTCAATTGCGTCCCGTTAATAACAGAGCTATTTTTGTATTCATGTGAAGAGAATTTATTCAAAATATTATACATGAGAAGAAGAAAACACTTGCTGTGGCCTTCAACTTGACATTTAGATATATCGACGACGTATCAATTAACAATAGTTACTTCCATTCATATGTCGACTCGATATATCCCAGTGAGCTTGAAATAAAAGATACAACAGAGTCCGACACATCTGTTTCATATTTGGATATTTTACTAGAAAAAAGACGTTAATGCTTACCTAACAACCAAACTTAAAAATTAACGTGATGACATCAACTTTTCAATCGTCAACTTGACTTACGTATGTAGCAATATACCTTAATTATCTGCATATGGGGTTTATGTCTCGCAGTTGATTCGATACGCAAGAATGCTCTACGTACGAACAATTTTTAAAACGAGACAAGCTTTTGACAAACAAGTTGATGAAACAAGAATATCAACAGTCTCGTTTAAAGTCACTATTTCGCAAATTCTATGGTCGATACAATAACCTTGTCAGCAAATACAATTTTATCTTTAAGTCAAATGCTGACTGACGTTTTTCATACTAATTGTTAGGCCATTACTTACACACTGAATTGTCTACGGATTTTTTCCGTTTTTTCTCCGATCAAGACAAGGAGCACGCAACGGGTGTGACCGATCGGCAGGGGATGCTCACTCCTCCATGGCACCTTATCCCACCTCTGATGTTTTAGAGGTCCGTGTTTCCTCTGCTCCTGGTTTGTATTGTTTGAATGGAGTTTTGAGCTTGAATACTTTTCGTTATCTCCATATTTCACGAAGACGATTCAGGCAATTTGATTAAAATCAGATCCTCGATCCGCTCTTCTGTTTGTTTTTTTTTTAATCGTCGCTACACGAGTAGTAGCGACAATTAAAAAAAAAAGACAGAGGAGTGAATCGAGGATCTGATTTTAATCAGATTGACGATTCAGGCTTGAATATTTGTATTCGTACAATTGGTAAGTTTGTATCTAAAAAATTAACTGGGAGACAAACTCCAAATTACCCTCGATTAATTTAGAGAGTTGTAGAAACTTTTGGAGGTTTTTTGAAGAATCTGTTGTTCCAACCGGTAACTTGCTGGCGGGGCGTATTTTACATTCTGAGACAACTTTATATAATTATGTATTAATGGTTAATTACTAAATCGCTTACAAACTCTGTAAACGTACTTGTTCAGCTATGAAGAACTGAATTTACTTTCTGCACCTTTTCTTCAACAGAACTTTGCAATCTCTTCCAAAGTCTTTGATGTATGCACAACCGAACAGGGCATATTGGTGTTCTAAAACTTGACTTCAATAATAGAAATAGTGGCTTTGTCTAAGAAGTTTTACATTACAAACAAAGTACATGTCGCAAAACAATGACTATTATTTAAACTTTCTCTTTTTTTCAAGCAATTCTTTCCTTTCATATGAACAGATAGTTTTATAATATTTAAACTGATTCAAATATTTTTTTTTTCTTTTGAATTTAATGTTTACTTTCAAATCAAATTTGGTTAATATACTGCTGTATTGTATATTAAATGATTTGAAAATTATACTTCTTTGACTTTTTTCTTCATGCTTTTTCCACGTATTTTTTTCAATTTTAAATTTGACTGACGTAGATTCTATATCGATAGTACATGAACAAAAGACAATGTTTTAAAGCATCTGTTGCATCAAAGGCGTTAGTGTCGAATATACAGGAGATACGTATACATGTACGTGTGATATACTTCTCTGGTGAAAGTGTCATGGAACGATTCTTCAATTTGGTAGCTTTTCTCGTTATATTTGTCCTTATAGCATTCTTCTATGAAGATGGACTAAAAAAATTTCATGATCTGCGAATGTCACCACTTTATGAATACAAGAACCAGCAATGGCATTATGACAGTATGTATGTCATTGATACACCGGGATGTAAAATACCAAATTACGAAGCATTTGATCATTCTATCAGGGAAAAAATACAACCTGGTAAGTTTATGCCATGTAAAACAATACCCTCTATTGTTAAACAAAAGTCAAGCTGCATAAAAATTGATCGAGTGGCATTAAATAAATCTAAGTACAAAAATTCTTTCTCATTTTGTCGTGTCCATACTGTGTATAGACCACGATACGGAAAAGACCATAACTACGTCACATATATAAATGAACAAATATTTACCAATGAAACGTGTCTAAAAAGTGACATGGTAAGAGTTCAATGCTTTGATAACAAAAATGTCACAATTCATACGAATTTTTTCTGGATATATCAAAAGAATGAAACACTGGAAAAACAATGTGATGAACGTTTGAGGAAAAGGTCGGAAAATTCAGACGTTGCTGAAACACTCAGTGTGCTTTTGCTCGGTGTAGACTCGACCTCCAGGCTCAATGCGCAAAGATTTTTCGTAAAGACAAGACAAGCATTGAAACAAAAATTTCATTCTGTTGAATTTAAAGGTCAAAATATTTTAGGAATGGATACTTTTACCAATGTGGTTCCGTTGCTGACAGGCAGTAGTATATTTGAACTTAAAAAGGATGGAAAATTTGGAAGCACCCCTATGGACAGTTTCGATTTTATCTGGAAAGAATTTGAACAAAATGGTTACAGAACATTGTATGCTGAGGATGCTGCATGGATGGCTGTATTTGATTATGTAAAACCCGGATTTAAGAACTTCCCAACTCATTTTTATAATCGCCCATGGTCCGTAGCCTGGGAGTCCATTCATTCTGCTTGTATAGGCGGACGGTCGGAACCAGAAGCCATTATGGAATATATGACAAAGTTTGTGAATGTGTACAAAAGTAAACCTTATTTTGCTTTTGCATTCATAACATCTCTGACTCACGATAGCCAAGAGTTATCTGCAGAAGCGGACGAAATTATGTCAATATTTTTCCACAAGGCATTTGAAACAAATGCATTTAACAACACAATTGTATTTTTCTTTGGTGATCATGGTCTACGTTATGGCGCAACTCGTTCATCGGATATAGGCTCGTATGAAGTGCAGTCACCAATGTTGTATATCATAATTCCTAGATGGTTTTCCGAAAAATATAAAACAATAGATAACAATCTACGAAATAATGCGAATAAACTGACTACAATGTACGATCTTCACGCAACTCTGCGAAATATCTTGAATTTCAGTGGAGAAATATTGGAATACAGTTTTCCTCAAAGAGGAGAAAGTTTATTCTCTGAAGTATCGGATGTACGGAACTGTTCCGATGTTGGTGTTCCCAGTTCAATGTGTACATGCAGTCAATATGAAAAACTGGATAATTTTTCTAAAATTTATGCTGAACACAACTTATCTGCTATTGTTGTTACAAAATTAAACAATCTTTTGAAGAATCATCAAACAATATGTGAACATCTCACTTTAGACAAAACCATCTCCGTGTATAAAGCTGCTTCTATAAAAAGACTGCATGTGTTTAAGTTAACTATTCGAACATTACCCGGAAAAGCCTTATTCGAAGCCGCCGTTGGCTTCGACTCTTCCAAAAATGAATACAAAGTTGAACAAATATTACGTATCAACAAATACGGAGATCAATCCAAATGTGTGAATGACTATATGCTTCGAAATTACTGCTTTTGTAAACGTCAATGATTTGCTTGTTTTTTTTTTTTTTGTTTGTTTTTTTTTTTGTTTTTTTTTTTTATGTTGGATAGTGAAAACTTGGAAATGTAAGTTTATACATGTATGTGGTAAAATTCTTGAAAACTATAAAACATTTCCTTTGTAACCTGGTTGTTGTATTGTAAAGTATCAGACTCAGAACCTATTATGTGATGTCCAGCATCTATCGTGGAAAGAAGTAAAACATCTACAGCTTAATATTAAAAGTTGTTTGGGATTTAGCATAAAATGTAATTTTAGGTCCTAATTTTTAATTTGGCATGGATTGTTTATTTTGTTTTAGTTGCATACATTTGGAGTGAAGTGCAATATGTTGATTTAAAATAACATTGTATTTTTTGCTTCTTTAGGTGGAGGGGGGGGGGGTTAATTTAACATATATAAATCATATTTATGTTTTTATTTTAATCTTTTAATAGCTATACGTATAAATGGCCCTTAAACAAGCAATCTAACTACTATTTATAGCAATATGTTTACACACCATTAAGAGGCAATAATGATTAGCACAAAGAGTCTACAGTTTGCAGTGTTTTTATTTTGGTATACTCCTCTCTGGACATTTACGAATACAGTATATCATCACAAATTTTTACCAAAAATATAAAATGAATGATCGTTAAAAAAAACTGTGCAAGGCAACTGTAAAGAATTCCTATATACATTCTTGTAAATTGAACATATGTTCAAACAATTACCCAGTTAAACTAGTTAAACTGCATATATATCGGAAGATGAAAACAAATCAATACATTTTGTTTCTTACATTGATTCTCATGAACAGATGAGAAAAGATACATTCCGAAAAACGATCATTTACTCTGTCAAAATGGTATTACTTAAGGGAGTGATAAAACGTAATACTTGTATTATATATTTATACAGCTGTGGCATGTGTAATTTTCTTAACACACAAACGGACATGCACACACACACACATCAACACGACGGGGCGATATAAATTTTATGATATTTTTTATTCATTGCGACCGCTGAGATAATCATTGGAAGTCAATCTATAGAACTGGTTTTACTTCTCATATTTTGAAATGCTGCTAACTGACGAGTTTATGATATATTGCATGAAGAACCATGTTTGTTAATGAGAAAAGTTAGTAAAAGTATGAGTTCACATCAACTACGATTTAGAGGTCAAAAAATGAAAGACTGTAGTCTTATTCAAACAATATGGGAGGGGGGGGGGTTAAACGAACTATGTAAACTAAAAACAATTAATGGCAAGAGGAAGGGGTAAATTTCCACTTCCACAAATCTCCTGTAATGCATATGTGTCGAAAATTTCTTTAGAAAGTCGTAAGATACATTGATTTATAGCACTTCGTCATAAGGGACCATATCACACTGAAGTTTAGTCCGGATATTAGATATAATTTTTTGTTGGATATATTTATAGAATTGATTTTTTTTTTTACAAATTAATGAGCGTAATTGTTTGAAGGCAAGGTGAGTAAACATGTGTTACAATTTTTGACATTGAATTTAGAAAGCCAGTGTTTTCAGGAAATTGATTCTTGTTTTCTAACAAAAGCAATCTGAGGCGAGATCATTAATAATTAACAAACTGTTATATTCGTGGAAGAAATTGATATATAGTTATATCTAAATTTCTAGTAGTTAGAATTTTTGCAATAGTGCAAAACAAGCAAAATTTTGATTTCTTATTTAGAATTTTGGCAATAGTGCAAAATTGATTTATATTTGTATAGGCCTACATGTATTTGAAAGTTCGATCTGTTTAAATAAGATTTGCTCGAGATTGATTGACACGTTTCTAATTAAAGCCAATTACATGCCTAAATTCAACCTTTTTTTCAATATTCGAGTAAAGAACGAAATATCTTTCTCTTGCTATTTCTAAATTTTGATTCGTATTGTGAGATTTCTATTTGTACCCATTTTAATTTTATATTTACACATTTAATAAAGTGATCAGCAGAGAATTTAGTCAACTAAAAGCTGAATTAATGACATACCCCCGGTATATTGATATTAACTGACTACTTATTTAATATTTTCCATCTAAAAACTGATGTCTTTATGTTGTAGAATACGATCTCTGTTTTGACATTTACATATAATAACGTTAGGAACATTTTAACATCTCCAGTGAATTTTGTCCATACCCAAAACGTGCAAAATTGATAAAATTATTCTAGTGATTTTGATTTCATTTATTGATGAAATTACCACCAGGACAAAAACAGTAATATGTGTTTTTACAGAAAGACATAACAAAATAAGACATTTCCCATATTATATACGTATTAATTGATTTATTCATTAATTTATTTTTGAAATTTTTTTTATATTGATACATTAACACTTTGGAAATAATCCTTTGATAATCTGCTTTTGTATCCTGTCAGACCCAAGGTGAAAGGTTTATGAAAACCCCAGAAACATTAAAGAACTGGAAATTTAGGGACGAAAAAACGTCATGTCCTCCCAGATTTAGTTTTTGAAATCAAATGCATTATAACATTATATATTAGTGGGAAAAAAACAATGGCCTTACAAGTCTAAATTTGACCCAACGAAAGGTTGTAATTGCAAAGAAGGTTATTACAACAACCATAGAATTTGCGACATGTAACTCAAACAAAATTGATAGGTACTTAAGTTGAGAGTTGATTCTCTTGGCTTATAACTGTTTCTTGTTTCTTTTTTTTTTCACGCATGCATTACTTTAATTCTTTGGTAATATTTTCTCTACGCTGTAGACACAGTTTATGAGAATAAACAATTGTCTTGTCTTGACAGAAAACGACACCGTTGTAACATTAACTTTCTTGCCATTAGCCTGGCTTGGTCTAAAACTGATCTTACCGAAAACATGCTTTTGCGTACCGAATAAGTGGGGAGACATTAACATCGTTTCCAGTTGATAATGGAATTACGGAAAGTCGAAGAAAGAAAAGCTAAGTCCTCCCACTTGTAATATACATGTAGTTTGTAAGCAGCCAGATATAAAACAAATGTACCATGCAATGTGGAGTCTTTAATTTCGGGTTCACTGGGATATTTCTAGTCGACATATGAATGAAAATGAATATTGTTAATTGAGGAAACGCTGTCGACACATTAAAAGCGACGGCAAGAGTTTTCTTTTTCTCCTGAAGAATTTTTTGAGTATTTTTTTTCTCAATAAGAATACAAAAACAGGTGGGCTAATAAAGAAGCACAATTTGCGCCCTTGGGAATTCCAAAAGATTGCTGGAAAACCTGGTCTGGATGACTAATCACATTATATGAAAATTTCCGAGTTTCATTTTTATTGAATTCGAAGAAACTGACTTTGATGTCAAAAAGCATGGTCTTTGATGTAATATGAGAAACAGTTGTATAGTTATACGTCATGATGTTGTTGATTTGGGGACAAAATTGGGATTTTAATTTTTTGAAAACTTCTTTGGAGTGCTTGACATTTGATTCACACATTTTAAATGAGGCGTAGTTCGTTTGAACTTTCACCTTAACTGCAGTTAATATTTTTATAAGGAATAAAGATAAGGACAGAAGAACGTTCACTGGACTCTGCCCTGTATCTTTTTAAGGATTTTAAAATTTAAAAGATTTGGAATCCAGTAAAGGCACGGTAACTTCCATCATTTGAAAAATGACTTGGCACACAAAGTTATATATATTTTTTCTTTCCTAACCAAAGTTTTTGTGATTTTTAAAATTTCAAAAATATAAAGATTAAAAAGGAGGATTAGGCTCAAAAACTTGCAATTTGGCAACGTAGACCACTCTAACTAGGTAGAAGTATTGGATGAAAACCATAACAGAAATAAATTCTAATTTCAGTAGAAGTGATTGAAGCACTGGCGTCGTCGTTCAGCAAGTTTCACATTTGACGAAAGGTTGTCATTTGCATTTGTGGTCATTCAATTTTTAGTACTTTTCTTCTTACTTTTCTAAAGTACATGTTTATACTTCAAAGTTATTATTGTGAGTTACAGTTAATAACCCACGATAACTTAACTTTGGAGTATTCTTAGTAGTCCAAAAATCAACAGGTCACATGCTGGAATTTCTACAAAAAATACAACAAACCCCTTGCATATTTAAATTTTAACAAAACCACTAAAATGTCCATGTACTTTTATGACAAGTTCACAAGCATTCATCCTATGCAGAAAGTCTGTAATCATTGTTCATGTTCAATTGTTTCCAAAAAAATCGATTAACAACTGCTGCCATTTTAATTTAAGCAAGGAAAAGTATAAAGAATTTAAAGACAGATAATCAGTGTAAACAATAAAACACATTGTTGGTAAATAGAATAACATTCAAATATCTTGGACAGACTTTGCACGCACAATTGATTCTATTTATACCTGAGTAACCTGAGACAACTTTATTGATAAAAGGTATTATGCTTATATTTAAAAAAAAAGGATGTAGAAGCTGTGTATAGTCAATTAATTGAAAACTAGTGTACACGTATTATCCATTGTTCGTGGAATGAAAAAGGTGAAGATAACGAACAGTGTTCGACCCCCTCCCCCCCAATCCATAAACAATACAAATCTGTGAAGAGGGCATAATATACGGAACTCTGGAAATTCCAGAGGTGGGATCAGGTGCCTAGGAGGAGTAAGCTTCCCCTTGACCAATCACACCCGTCGTTAGCCCTATGTATTGATGAGGTAGACGGAACATTCCGTAGTCAATTCAGTTTAAAAACAAAGGCCTAATAATAACTGGTATGAAACAGGTCAGCCAAAATACGACCCAATGATAAGTTTTATTTGCTAACAAGGTCATTATAACCACCATAGAATTTACGAAACATGGCCGTAGGAACCGGGGGGGGGGGGGGGGGCGCCGTGCTTCCCAATAATTTTGCCGATATATAGAATAACATAGCTACTATATGCTTGTGCCCCCTCATTAATAACGTCTGATGACCTTTTTTTTTTTTTGCTTGTCAAGGAATTTTGGTAGTTGATAGTGCCTCTCCAACTGAAAATGTATGGCTGTGCCCCCTCAAAGTGAAATTGCCTCCTACGGGCCTGCGAAATGCTGATGTTGAAATCCCTCTAACATCAATTTACATGTTTTTGTCAGTAGCCTGCCTCGGTTTAAAAATTGATCGTACTCGGCACACGTTTCTGAGTATCAAATAAGATGGAGGTGTAAACACCATATGCAGATGATAACGGGATATTGCTATAGACATGTCAATATCATCATAAATACCCATTATTACTATGCTGGACAGATATATGTCTCATTTAATATACATTCTACCTCGTATTCAGCCATTTTTGATTATCTGCAAAAAACTTTACACTACAGTCAATATCGAACAACAATGCGGGGGATTGTCAACAACAATGCAGAAAGTAATTCAACATAAAATTTTATTTACAATAAGAAATAATGAGGTAATAAATATATGCATCTTAAGATAATCACATTATACATTCATAAGCTTTAATCGTATTGAGAACTTTTTAAACACTCTGTTATTTCTTATTATCACATCATGCACCTGTCGGTCAGTTAATGGAAGTCCATAAACAAGCCTCACCCTGAAAAGAAGTGAAGAAAATAGAGCAATCAAACGACGCAATTGATCAAATGGAAATTACAAAAGAAGATTCAATTTTATTTGGTGTAAAAATCCGTCCGGTTTGAAGTTTTAGCAGTATACATGCTTACAATAAGGACTAATCTACGAAGGTGGTAGACACTAGTTTCTGGATGGTTAATAGAGCTTGCTCAGAAGTTATTTAGTTAGCCTTTAATGTAATAAATTCATATAAAAATGAGAGTGACCAATACCATCAATGTATTTAACACCATCTAAATGTTTAAAGAGGGTAGAAGTCTTTTTTATCCTGACATCCTCATGAATGGCACACATGATTTTTTTCTTCAGTTGATAACTTGCTATTCACAATCCGACACTATTATATTTTTATAGAGGTACAACTGTCATGTTTTTTTTTCAAAGAAAAAAAAATGAGGTTTTATCCATATTTTGATTAATCTCCTACAATATCACTCATTTACCTGCAGTTTTTTCCTTTCTATAAAATCTACAAGGCGGTTTGTTGCTATAGGCTTTGGTCTGGACGCAGATGACCTAGGTATAGACGCTCGGTGAATCCATAGGCTTTCCAAACAAACTTGAGCAGACGGCCTTGATCTACAATATCATACGATTTTGGATTCTTTCACCATTTTAGACAGACATTAAAAGAGATGTATAAATTGTCCTTCAATTTTCTTTTTGTTGAGTGTGCAAGTTCCGATTTAAATGGTACAATAAACTTTTTTTTATCTTCGCAACGATCATTTATGTACATAGACAATACATCCATATCACTATATATATCTATTTTTATAGATGAAATCTGTATTTCAACGTTTACAACATTTATTTTCTAAAAGGACAACGGATTAGATCACAGGTATGTAGCAAAGTTTATATTACTATGAATGTCTTTCATGCATACTGTACACAAACTATATACCATTCAGAACATCTCTACTCGTTTGGGAGAAAAGATGTGTTTGCCAATATTAAAATTTCACTTTTTTTTCCTGTTAAAAAGTTTCGCGACGAAATGTTTCACTTGTATTGAATACGTTGGGTATTTCTTACATATAAATGCCATTTTATTTAAATTAAATTTGGTTTAGAGTATCAATTAATAAAAAAATCAAAATTACAAATTGTAGAGTGCGTTTTCCTTTTTTTTTTTTTACTTACTCAATGTGATCCACCAACATAACTTTGATGAGATCTATAGCTTCGTTTGAGATTTCTGAGAAGTATTCTTCTGGAAAACAGAAGTCGTTTTTGATGATGTTTGCGCAAGTCTCTTCCTGGCTCTCATCAAGAAACGGTGACACACCACTCAGCAGTACATACAGAACGACACCAACGCTCCTGTCGGAAATCAGAAACGAGGCTAATTGAGATAAGGACAAGTCTGTATATTTTACAGATACTAATGTCAGGCAATGAATTTTATACTAAAGATGAAGATATATCAGTTTCTGGACATGAAAGATAACATTCGGTATATTTCGATATGCTTTCTTGTTCAATTACCATATATCAGTGAGTGTGGAAACGGCTTGCCCACGAATAATTTCGGGGGCTCTAAATTCCGCACTACCAACATAATGATGGATATAGTGATTATTATACACGATCCTAGCATCCCCCGAGTCAATCAGCTTAACACAGGCGGATCCCATCACGTTCTGAACCATCAAATTCTCCGGCTGTAAAGAAAAAAATTGTCATGAGAAAGAAACTGCGTATCATAACTTCTTCCCTATATTTTTGCCAATTTCAAAATTGCAACAAATAAAGAAAAACTACGTCTATTAAAATACTTTTTTATGAGCTTTGTTCATATTTTCACTTGCAAATATATGTACTGATATTATAATCTAATGGTTGCTTCATCTCGTACCTTGACGTCAAGGTGGATAATCCTGCAATTGTGAAGGTACTGAAGGGCCGCAAACAGCTGGCGGATATAGTCTGCAGCCTCGATCTCGTCAAATATCTGCCTCTGACAGATGAACTCAAATAGCCTTCCTACTTCCAAACTATAAAACAGAATCACTGGAAATTTTCAAAACTGGTGGAATTAATCAAATGCAATGTACATGGAAAAAGTAAAAAAAAAAAAAATACATGGAGAAGCAAGGTATGTTCGTAATACGCAGTATCCTAGCACTATTGTACTGAATACCTTATAAGCAGAAATTTTAGCGAGGATTCAATTTTGGCATTATTGGCGATGGTATTGAGATCGCTAAAAATCAAATATCGCTAACAATCTATTCTGCATTAGAGGTTATCTTTCTATGCACCATTATATAGCTGAAATAAATTCTTGCTTAAATTACATACTGATTTTCAAGGACAAATCGCTAAATTTGCGTCTTTCTAAAATTTCCTTTTATACGGTAATTAACCCCTCGCAACGAAGTTGGAGGGGATATACATGAAGTAAAGCGCTTGTGTGTGGGTGAGTGAGTGCGTAACGGAATTACGCAAGTATATTATCAAATCAATGTGCTCTTTTGTGAGGGGATGCTCCGTTTTGCGATGCCCTTGTATTTCATTTTTTCAGTTTTTTACATACAAGTTTAACCCTGAAATCGGCCTTACATTCCAATCCTTTGCTAGACTTACTATTCCATGATAATGAGCAGATAACTGGCCGTCTCGTAAAGATCGTACAACTGCACGAGATTTTCGTGCTGCAGAGTCTGGAGTATGTTAAATTCCATCTCCACATCTTCTTTCCGCGTCTGTCGTCTATTCAGGTATTTAACAGCCACATATTGGTTTGAACACTTCTGTAAGCATTTCTTAACAACAGCAAATCTCCCTCTGCAAAGTTTTTGTATAATTATTATCCGGGACAGAAAGAAAGACTGAAACTAATACACAAGTTTGGAAGTATAAGGTTAAAATGAAGAGGACAGACCTTCCGATTTCTTCCACTTCTTTGTAATCTGTATCGTACGTTGTCTTCCAGATAGCCATGGCTCCATCTTCTTTCTCCAACAACTCTGAAAATATCAAAGGATGCATTAATCAAATGATACAATGAAGTTTAATACTGTATGTGTACGTACTTAAAAAAGCGGGCTTCATATTTTAGCGGCCTTGGCGCAGACAACGATGCACTAATTCATGAATACCGCTAAGAAATCATTTATAAATACAATATACAGCACGGACATGTAAAGCGTTAATTCATGATTTCGCCAACAATTTAACTCCATACCCAGTGATTGCGCTAAATTTTGAATACGCCAATTTATGTACACGTACAGCAATATTAAATCTGTTCACTGCATTCTTTGCAGATTATCATATTTTGAAGTGAGTTACTAAGCTTTCCTGTAGTCGAACATTGATAGATCAAACATCTTTTGCATATCGAAGAAAGTCGACGATCCTAACTTTATTATAAAAATTTTTGAATTATATTATAAATTCCAACTTGAATATCTCGATAACTTTACCATTTTCCCATTCGTTATCGAGGTTTAACTGTTGTTGTTTTTTTTCAGCAACATTACCTGGTTTGCCCCAATTCTTGAAATGATGTTATAATTATACAAAGTTTGAAAAAGTGAATATAATGAATACAAGAGATTTAAAACGAACCGTTTTCTTGCGGAATGATGATAAAATCCGATTCGACACTGGGTTCACTCATGCCCACACTATTATTTGAGCTGACTCGGAACTGATACGCGCACCCTGCCACTAGGTCACCTATGACCTGTGACGTGTTGGGTACATATGGAATGGCGGCTTGCCACATAGCCATCTCCCTCTCCCTTAGTTCTATTGTGTATCCCTGAATCTGACCACCTGACACTGGTGTTGGGGGAGGGGGCCATTCTAAATGAACGGATGCTCCCACTTGGTTACGTATAACTGGTTTTCCAGGTGGTTCTGGTCGATCTGAAACGGGAAATTGACTTGGAAATTAATTACTATCTAAACTTGTGGCACTCGATGACTTTAGTTCACAAAATTATTATGTATGGGGGATTTATTATTATTAATTCATAAACAGAATTGGCTATAATTGTTTGGACGAGACTATAGAGCCACTTACAGAGAACCGTTACATGAGTGCTGGTTGTAACTGAACCTAGTTCACTGTATGCTGTACATGAATATTCACCGCTATCTGCTAAGGAAATGTTTTTCATCTGGAAACAGAAAATAAAACTGAAAATGCCATCTATCGCTTTTGAGTTTTGCCATTCAAAATTGCCAAGCTGACCAAACTATACATCTACTACTCTACTCATTAAAAGAAAAAAATATCAAATTTGACCTCATAAATCATTATACAAGAAAATATTCAGGAATATCCAGATGATAAAACAGAAATTTGACTTTACCGTAAGGGTTACGAATCCATCTTCATTACTAATTACATGAACGCGCTGTCCTGGGATTACGGAGGTACTATTCTGGAAAGCCCATTTGATATCAGGACGGGGTCTGCCACAGATTCTACAGGTAAGTACCGCGGTGTCCCCGGCCTGGACCGTGATTGGCGTCAGTGGTTGTAGAACCGAAGGCACCATTTCATACAGAAGGTCATGAGACCAGATCTAAAATAAAACCAAAATAGTATATTGTAATACTGCTTATTATTTAGGTTAAAAAAAAAATAGTCCACATGGGAGGATCGGGTACCCTCTCCATCATCTGATAATTCTTCAAATTTTTAACTTTACAGAAAGACCAAAAAGAAAAAGACTAAAAAAAATGAAATCAAAATGAGGGGATAGTGAACTCTTACATGTAGTATTTATAATGGTACATCTGCCCCTGCAAGTTACTGATGAAAACCTTGAATGCCCATACAAATGTGTTTTTATTTCAATTTTCAAGAAAATCCGAAAGTTTTTGTATATAGAACTTAAACTGACTAAAACAATCAAAAAATAAACAATAATCTCATTGGGTCCCCCCCCCCCCCCCCGATCTTGTATGGTGTACTACTAACTTTCTTTTCTCGTTCGTTGGCTCGGGGTAAAGTTTTACATTTCCTCTCTGGTTGATTTGCTTCTGGTACTTTCCTTTCAGGTCTCAATCCCTGCATTTTCATTTTGAATAGTTGCCAAGAACTTTTCCTTAAAATAAAATATATTTCGGATTTCACTGGAGAGCAAACTGAATAATGAAATGGCTACTGATTATTTATCATCATCTTAAATATTTCTATTACCTCTATTTTTTTAAAAGATTGTTGCAATCAAAGATTGATATTTACACAACTAATATAAGATTTCATTTTGTAAATTTCCTTTCATAAATAGGGTTTTTTAAACCCTTCCTTTGTTACTTGTTTCTGATACGGGGATTTACAGTGTATATATGTTATGCATACATGTATTTGTTTGGACAAGTATTATACGGATTTTTTTCTTGTTACTATCTTTCCTTCCTTACCGAAGACTGCTGTCATCCTTCGGACCTATCGCCTGCATGGGTATCCAGCCCTCGGCAGCTGGGGAGTGCGTATTGGCGGGCCGATATACTAGGAACATGCTCTGTTGATTGGAACATACAACTTGGACAATTTCCCCACGTGACACTGAGATTTCATCCTCTTTGACCGCCAGGTAGTCATACAGAACCTTTCCAATATGTACCAGGTTTCCCTGATGCAGAATGAAAACATTTAACTCCAAGAAATTTTTCAAGCATTATTATTAGGAACATGACTGTATAAATAGGAAGAGAGATAACTCAATATTGATTGATCACTGTCTCTTTTATAAAATCTTCATCTGTTTCAAATTTTGTCTCGATTAAACTTATCTGAATTCATTTATACTTCCATCTTCTTTTATAGTTGTCATACAAGCAGAGAAATGTTGATCTTAGTGAGTTGTCTTCTCTTAAAATTAGCAAATGGAAAGATAAGCAACGATATTTGTAAAAGGGAGATTACTTCAAGTTTGAATTGGAAATGGGAGATATCGTTAAAAGGCACATTTTATCCTCAAACTTTTGAGATTGTTCTACTAACCTTTTCAGTCTTTATTGTTTCCTCTAAAGCATAATGCTGTCATGCAACAAAATTGAAACTGAACAAGATGCACACGTTATAAAACATCTACAAAATTTATCAATTTATAATTAAGCTTGCACGTTGGAATGTTGCTGTTCTTTTTAAATTAAAACTTATCTGAAAGATTGTCAGATTTCAACACATCCTAACGGTTAACTGTAATATAATGATGATTACCGTAAGTTTTTATTTGAAATTTCTGAAAGCTGATCTATATTTTTTCAAATAATGTCGGTTATCAGATTTCACATCTTGTCCTGTTTACCATCAATGTAAAGATAATCAGTGTGTGCATGTAAATGCTCAGCAATAAGTCATCCTGGGAATTGTGCCTTTGATAAAAGCTTGGAAGAATCAGGGCATTCCTCATATCTATACAGCATTAAAGCTTATTTATAGATTACTCAGTATACAATAAAATATAATAAAATCTCATTAATTCCTACTAGTTATTTGATTTTAATAATAACATTAATTGTATTGTCATTTTGTCGTTATTGTTAAACATTTATATTATTGTTGAATTCCCTTGGTCAAAAAGCACATGGATCATAATGATCATCTGCATACAGAGTGTGTTTTAAGTATTTATGATAACTTATAAATCTGAACTGTTAAATTGTTTGTCTTTAGGATGTGGATATATTAACTTCAACTTTAGATCCATTTTGCACCAAACCTAACCCAAAATATCGCCATACGTGAACAAACTTTCATATAAACTGAGATTGCTTACATATCTAATTCCATATGAAACATTGTTTTTATTAAGTTCTAAGGAGATATTTTCATTTTTGTTAAAAAAAAAAAATTAAAATTCACTGTATAAATTGGATTGACTGCCTATAATGGTTCTCTCCACAGATCAAGGCACATTTAATGAATTTCTCCTATATATGCTTATATGTAAAATGTGAACCTAATATGCTTCCATAGGGGAAGTCATTACAAATACTTTTTTTTGTTAAAAAAGACTCTATCCTATTTCACTTTAATTTTTCCCTAGCTCTAAATGGGGTTTAGCCTTTCAATTGATCAAACTTATGTTGGTTTTTTCCAGTAAAAAAAAGTGATGCAAAGATAATCCCCATTTTTCATTCAGAAAACCTCAAAGGGTCTAAAAAACCAATACATGACAGAAACTTTCTGTTATCATACTCTGCAAATTAATATTGAAATGTTTAATTATTTATTAATCATTTTATTAATAATATCAAAGAATATAAGTTTGAATTATTGCTCAAAGAGCCTAAACAGCTGTTTAACTATCTTTACCATTGAATTACCATTAACATAAACCCCTCAGCTTCAATTAGTCTGACACCTGTCAAGAATAAAAAAGAAAGTTTTTCTGATTTTTCTTAAACCTCAATAATTAATTACATGCAAGAATTACAGCAACTTTTTGCATGCAAAATGTGCCCATGTTAGTTACAAATTAGGATGTTATGAAACCTTTTGTTAATGATCACTTTGTTTACCTAATGCCTTCACAATTTTTCTTTGGATCACTTATAGATTCATACATTCCTACAATTTGCTGCTTCTTTTAAGAAATGGATAATAAGATATTTTTTGTATGAGAACAATACTTTATTGTCAGCCAATGCAGAATGATATTCTGATAACAACAAAGCTTCTTGTAGCCATATAATCTACAAATGTTGTTCATCCATACACACACACACTTTCGTTACAGCACCTCTGCATGTAGTACAAAAAGACCTGAGTGAAACAAGTTAAAGCAATGTATATCATATAGCATCTCACAAGATTTATTTAATTTGACATTGTTGAAATAATTTGAAAGAACCAATGATTTGGTTTAAGTACCAATATATTTGAGTATTGTACTTTATTTATCTTCTAAAATAACATATAATTACTGATGAGGAAACATTAGTAACCATTTCATAAATTCTGTGTTATAGTCAATGGGATGCATTCAATGAGTACAAGATTTATAACATTTTGGTGATGGCTCGACTTTCTATTCTACATGCAAGGTGCTGAAATATCCATACATATCCCCCAATAAATTTTCACTCAACACTATCACATATATATAATATATATATATAAAATAATTCAATAAGTTACACATGTTAAGTGGTTTTCAACCACAGATTTTTTTTTTCAAAAAAATTAGAATGTACATTGACTAAAGATTTACTCAACTAACAATACCACAAAGCATTTTGAAATAATTGAAAAATCAACACACATCTTGCAGAAGATATAGATCAATTTATAACTGGGTCAATTTTTGTGGTTGTTTATCTTATAATTTTTATTCAGTTTTCCCTCTTACTTCTATACTAAAAAAAAAAAAAAAACAAAAACAAAAAACTGTAATTCTAGAGCAGTATACGTATACATATTAATTTTCATGCCTTTAATACTAAATTGAAAACAGGAATGTTACTATAGAAACATACATGAATGGTTTACTGCTTGAGTAGCACTTAGAAAATAGCATCACATCTCAAGTGAGCAAGGGCAGTGTAAAATGTTTCCATATTACGATATTAAAACAAAACATTTAGCTGATTTTTCTACATACATATACATGATATAACACATAATTCATAAACAAGGACAACTTCAGCTGTTTATATAAATACAACTGTTAGCAGTGACATAGCTAAAAAGATATAAAAGACTGAAAATCTAAACTCATTGAGGAGGCTGAGGAAATGTGGACTACTGAGTTATACACTTGTATATATATATGTTTACCACATCTAGAGAATACTGACAACTCTAAGGACATCTGTACTAACATTTACACTGACTAGTACATCAGAAATGTGTAGATATTTCTAATCTAGCACTTTTAAAATCTTAGAAATATCATATATTGCACAAAATCAATTGATGAACATTATCTTTTGAAGTTAATATAAATACATTACCAGTAAATTTTGTTCTATCATTTCACTTACTTGATTCGTCATATTTCTATATATAGCACATAATCATGAAATGTTTTACAGACTATGTGTGACCAAGACTAATTATGATGTGCAATAATAAACTTATGAATAAAAGTAACGGTTGACATGTGAAAATATTTGTATTACTTTTTCAGGTTTTTCTTTCAATACTGTTCACAAAATAGTTTGTATTGTCTCTGAATAATATGACATATAGTCATATGTTCATTTTCTGAACATGGATCAGTAGCATAACCTTGAGCAAGAATGTCAACAGATTTAAAGAATACTCTAATACCTCACATACTGAGCATCCAGACAGACTCATTATTCTGACAATTTATAATTCTTAATAAATAAATTCATGTTATCACAGCCGATATCTATTTACACATCGCCTTTCACTTCTGTACTTTCACTTTGGATGTAGTTTCACTTTGATTGCCTGCTTTATCAATAAGATGTGCAAGTTGATAATTACTAAAATATATACAATTTCCTTGAAACATAAATTCACAGCAAAGTTGTGGTAATGCCTAGACTATTATGAGAGTAGGAGACATCAGATTTCCTCACTACAGACTGATGAAGAAACTCTTTCAATACAGAATACAAAATGACAGGTTTCTAAACCATATAAACATCAGTTTGTGGTTTAATGTAAAGGTGTTCTAAAATTCACAATGACATTTTTTCATTGTATACTAGTAAAATAGTGAACACAATATGACACATGGATTTCTTCTTTTGTTAGTAATATGGGAATGAATGGTATGTGTTACAAAGAAAAAAAAGATATAAGGGGAGGTAACTGTGCTTGACAAGAGTAACAATCACATGCCTGAGCAACACTGTGTGCTTTGCTGAAAAGGTGCACATTGTCCTTTTTGTTAACTGGAAATTTTTTCACCAGATCTGATGAATCGGAACCCTGAGATATAATAATTCATAGCTCTGTGCAGAAGTTAATTCTCCCCTCCAGTTTCAAAAAAAAGGTTTTACAAGTCAGAGTGATTGCAGGCAGATCTGATTAGGATTTTAGAACTTCACACAAAATGCATATTTTTGGTGTATATATATAATTATATCTATGAATCTATCATTAGAACTAATCACAGAGAGAATCCACATCACGTGCGAATTTGTCATCACAAAAATTAGGAACACTGTCTAGAAGCCTATCAGTGAATCACGATGCCTTCATATGCTGCTCACTTACCACTGGCTGCTGATCATCCATGCTGTTGACATGATTACTAGAACCTTCAGAAGTCCTTGACCCACCAAGGTCATTGTTCTCAAGTTCTCCTGAATACATAGAGTCACTGTTTGATTTTTTATACTTGTGTCCTTCAGATTTCTTTGGTTTCGGGGAACAATCTCCTTTGTCAGATTTGGCAGGAGACTTCTGGAGTGAGTCATCTGTGTACTCCTCAAGGTCTGGTTTTGATGACTGACCTGGAACAGACTGAGATCTGGCTGTGCTGTTGGGGGACCCCATCGTCCCATTGGTTTTACTTTTAGGGTGAGGTTGAGAAATAGATTTGTGCAAGGAATAATCTTTGGAAGGGTTTGTTGAGATGTCAGGAGAAGACCTACAAAACAAAAGAATTATCATTCCAAAGAAAACAAGAGGCCCATGGGCCTTGAATCGCTCTTCTGATAAACTGTACAACCTATCACTTCTATTTGAAGCCTCGAAGTATCCTGTATATTTACATAAACCCTTGAAATTCCAATTCACACTCTGAGAACCCAAGATGATTCTAAGCCAATTAGTACCTGAGAGTTGGTCATGGTGACCTACTTATCACTTGTCATTCTCTGAGGACCCATCAACTAAGTTTGATGATTCTAAGCCAATTAATACCTAAAATATTTTTTAAAATTATAATAATAAAATTTTATAAGTAGGTCAAAGTGACCTACTTTTCGATTGTTTTACTCCAAGGACCCAAGATGCATCAACTGACAAAGTTTGATGATTCTAAGCCAATTAGTACCTGTAATATTTAATTAAAGCCATAAATTTTCAAAAGTAGGTCACCGTGACCTACTTTTCAGTTGCTGTACTCCAAGGACCAAAGATACATCGACTGACAAAGTTTGATGATTCTAGCCAATAAGTACCCAAAATATTTAATTACAGCCATAAATTTTCAAAAGTAGGTCACCGTGACCTACTTTTCAGTCAACCTACTCCGAGGACCAAAGATGCATCAACTGACAAATTTTGACGATTCTAAGCCAAATAATTCCTGAAAATATTAAATACAGCCATAAAATTTCAAAAGTAGGTCACCGTGACCTACTTTTCAGTTGTTGTACTCCGAGGACCCAAGACGCATCAACTGACAAAGTTTAATGATTCTAAGCCAATTAGTACCCGAAATATTTGATTAAAGCCATAAATTTTCAAAAGTAGGTCACCATGACCTACTTTTCAGTTGTTGTACTCCGAGGACCCATGACGCATAAACTGACAAAGTTTTATGATTCTAAGCCATTTAGTACCCGAGATATTTTATTAAAGCCATAAATTTTCAGAAAGTAGGTCACCGTGACCTACTTTTTAGTCGACCTACTCCGAAGACCCATGACGCATCAACTGACAAAGTTTGATGATTCTAAGCCAATTAGTACCCGAAATATTTGATTAAAGCCATAAATTTTCAAAAGTAGGTCACCGTGACTTACTTTTCAGTTGTTGTACTCCGAGGACCCATGACGCATAAACTGACAAAGTTTTATGATTCTAAGCCATTTAGTACCCAAAATATTTTATTAAAGCCATAAATTTTCAGAAAGTAGGTCACGGTGACCTACTTTTTAGTCGACCTACTCCGAAGACCCATGACGCATCAACTGACAAAGTTTGATGATTCTAAGCCAATTAGTACCCGAAATATTTGATTAAAGCCATAAATTTTCAAAAGTAGGTCACGGTGACCTACTTTTTAGTTGATCTACTCTGAAGACCCAAGATGCATCAACTGACAAAGTTTGATGATTCTAAGCCAATTAGTACCCGGTATATTTAATTAACGCCATAAATTTTCAAAAGTAGGTCACCGTGACCTACTTTTTAGTCGACCTACTCCGAAGACCCAAGATGCATCAACTGACAAAGTTTGATGATTCTAAGCCAATAAGTACCCAAAATATTTAATTACAGTCATATAAATTGAAAAGTAGGTCACGGTGACCTACTTTTCAGTTGACCTTTTTTGAGGACCCAAGATGCATCAACTTACAAAGTTTTATGATCATAGGACTTAAAATGTCCAAATTATGCCTCTAAAACGCTTTGAAATCGAATGCCTGCAAAGTTCAAAAAGTAGGTCACTGTGACCTACTTTTTAATAAATATGTTTTATGGCCCCAAGAGGCATCATCTTACAAGATTTAATGATTCTAAGCCTCCCCGTATTCGAATTAATGACCTTAATTGTTTTAAAAAAGATTAGCCATAAAATTCAAAAAGTAGGTCAAGGTGACCTACTTTTTAAGTGACGTACTTTGACGACCCAAGATGCATCAACTGACAAAGTTTGATGATCATAGGCCTTAAATTGTTCAAAATATGCCTCTAAATCATTATGAAAAAGAATGGCCGTAAAATTTGAAAAGTAGGTCACCGTGACCTACTTTTGAGTCAACATGATATGAGGTCCTTAGATGCACCAACTGAAAAGATTTGATGATCCTAGTCCTTATAGTAAGCAAAATATCAACATTTTAATAAAATGTAATTTTTGGTCAACTTTGAAGTGACCTTGAGACCACGCCCTTTGCCCCAGGGTAAATCCCCGTGCAAATTTTAATCTACAACATATCCTCATCCTTTTGTGTAAGTTTGGTGATAATCTGCCCAGTGGTTCTTGAGAAGAAGATTTTTTAGCAACCAGTACTTTTGTTTCTATTTTCCTAATTATCTCCCCTTGTTAAAGGGTCACAACCCCAGTTTTAGTATAAAAGGGAGCCCTTGGGCCAAGGATACCCTGTGACAAATTTGACAATAATTGGCCAAGGGGTTCTTGAGTTATGGCCCATATTCTAAAAAGTTTACGCACACCGCACACCGCACAAATGGCCATAGCATTAGCTCTTTGAGCCTTTGGCTCAGAAGAGCTAAAAATCAAAACCTTAAGACTATTTGGCATAGTTAACCATTTTAAGACCAATTCTCTGTAAATATCAAAAAAAGATTAAACACACATGCAGGACAATATGTAGATTTGTAGGAACCCATACCAGAAAACAAATCAAATATTTTGTTTGTCAGATTTGCCATAAATGACCATGGCAATGGGATCCAACTGGTAATTTTTTGTTATTTTGGAAAATCATACTTTTGAAAGAAAAAAAGTTCCAAATAATAATCATAAATATTTTGAAAATTTAACTGCCTGCAAAAATTAAACCATGAAATATGGTGCTTATTGTTTTTTTTAAATTAAATATTCATTGAAGAACCTTGACAAAAAATAAAGCTCAAACTGATGTTTTCTTTTTTTTGTGGGGGGGGGGGGGGGGGAGGGGAGAGAGAGAAGCAACAGTAAATATTTTTAGTCACAGTCATACTTTAGCTGTACATTGTATATTTAATCAATACAGAAAATCATTCTTATTAAGGCATGCAAACCAGACATGGGCATACACTATACTACAAATAACTAGTTATAATTGTAACGGGGACCGTTACAGATGTTCCCCAAATGCTCCCCAACACCCTTTTGGTGTCTTATTTCCTGTAACCTTCATTAAATAAGGAAATGAAGTATATTGGTCGTTTTTTGCATTTTACGCGCGCGCACGTACATGCATGTGCAGGATGACCATGTCATCCCATCTATACTATTAATGCATCTTTATATTCTCAGTATCAAAACATTTCATCAAAAATATGTACGTTCCGGCTATATCAAGTATATTGGTCATCTTAGCATTGCGCGCACGCGCACCTATATGCATGTTCATAATGACCATGCCATCTTGTCTACACTTATAATTTGTCTGTTTATTCCTAGTATCAAAGCTTTTCATCAAAAAATATAAAAGTTACGGCTATATTAAGTATATTGGTCATTTAACACATTGCACGCGCGCGCATGTGCATGCATGTTCATGATGTCCACATCATCTTGTCTACATTTTTAATATATCTGTATATTCTTAATATCAAAGCATTTCATCAAAAAATATAAAACTTACGACTATATTAAGTATATTGGCCATTTAAGAAATTGCACACGCGCGCACGTGCATGCATATGCATGCATGTGCATGATGACCATGTTATCTTGTCTACACTTTAAATATATATAAATATTTTGAGTATCAAAGCATTTCATCAAAAAGTGTAAAAGTTACGACTATATCAAGTATATTGGTCATTTTACGCTTTGCGCGTGCGCGCACGTGCATGCATGTGCATGTTGACCATCTCATCTTGTTTACACTTTTAATGTATCCTTATATTCTGAGTATCAAAGCATTTCATCAAAAAATATAAAAGTTACAGCTATATCAAGTAGATTGGTCATTTCATGCATTGCACGCGCACGCACATGCATGCACGTGCGCGCAAAATGACCTTCGTTCCGCAAATCTACATAACATGCCTAGTAACCCTAAAAAGGTTTTAACTCAATTGGATGAGCAGTTCCCGAGAACACTCGCGGACAAAAAAGTACCGGAGAAGAAATAAGTATAAAAAAGAATAATAATAATAACTAGAGCAAAGCTCGTTGCAAAGCAACGAGTAGGTCTTCCGTCCGATTTTCAGAAGCACTGCTTGTAAAATGGATAAATGAAAGAAAAGTATTCGTTAAAAAGAAGGCCTCCAGTCCAAAAATGATGTCGATCTGTATTTTGTTTTTCTTAAGATTAAAATATATACCGATTTTCGTTAAATAAAGCAAATCAATTCCGGTTTGAGCGGAAGTGACCCCAATCGACAGAAAATTGGGTTCAGAAGTCTTGGGTGAATTTAATCATTTGATTTTATGTTGATATCTGCAGAAATACGTCATTTATAGTTACTTCCGGTTTCACCGAAAGTTGACAGAAGTGACGATACTCGACAGGAAATCCAATCAGACGTCCTCTGTGACATGCATAATTCAATTCAATACCAATATCTGTGAAAATAAGCAATTTTCTACTTCCTGTTTGGCCGGAAGTGACGTCATTCGACGCATTTTGATGATCTCACAAGCTGCTACTTGTCATGTTGAACAACTTTGCTTCTTTGAAGTATAACAAATTCTCAACACTTTTTGAGATATCAGGAAAACACTTTTGGCCCCTGTAGATCCCTTGTTTAGGGGCCAGCCCTTTTCTCGAGACACCATTTAAAAGATCTTGTAATTTTGCACAAATTTTGTTCTATATGTTTTAACAAAATATTTCCAAGTAAAAAGATATCGTACAGAAAGTGTTCGAAATTTTGAAAATCTCGATATGACTTTTTCAGGCCATAGCGAGCGTCGACGTGGGGCACTTCCGGTGAAAGTTAACTACGTATTACAGATCTACATATGTTGCTCTGTCTTCGCTAAAAATTTCACATTCCTGTGATTAGTGGTTTCTT